TGTCATAGATATGTTAATTGATATTCTCCGCATATTCAAATTATAAACATCACATGTTTTAAACCGTTTTTTTATTTTTGTCCCAAAAGGGAACCTTCAGCAGGGAGACTTGAAATAATATGATGTAAATAATCGAAATAAGAAATATAGTTACAGTCACTCTCGTTATAGCAGACCTCTTCCCTCGTGATTCTCTAGAACAATTCAAAATTTTCACTCATTATAATGCTATAGCGGATATTCATTATAACGGACGGAATTTCCCGACCAATCCGCTATAGCGAGAGTGAACTGTATTTTGCAACTTACGTAATCATTACCACAATAACAAGTTATTTGGCATACGTAATATAATCTCGGATTAAAAGGCGATTATGTGACATACTTTAATTGGTTCCAATATCGGAGAATAAATAACCGTGGGACGTACGTACGTACGTAGTATGGATGAAATTAGAAATTTCCTTTCTTGATATATAGAAAAACAAATTGTACGTAACGGTAATGGTAATTGTTGAAAATTAATTAATGCTGAAATTGGTAAAATTAGTTTTTCTGAAATTAAATCTAAATTTTATTATATTATTAATATTTACGTTAAATGTTTATTATAGATTGATCCTTTCAGGACTAATAAGCGAGAAAGTTATTCAGCTGACTAAGCCGGCTAAGTTGGCTTAGCCATGCTACCTTAGCCGGCTTAAAACACAATAATTAGGCGTAATCTGTCACACATTCGTTCCGTGAAGAGTTTCTTAGCGTCAAGACCCAAATGTCGTTACACTGAAAGATGAAATAACGGATAATTACCGTTACTATTTTTATTTTTTCCATAAATAATTTATACGTAGATTCGCCAAAATCTGAATTTCCTATCGATATAATCTACAATGTTTCTCAAATTCAGAAAACTTAATTTGTTAAAGTATATAACTTAATATCTTTCATGTTTGTTAATTGGTTTACCATTTTGACTGTTTTTGTATTATATGTTAGTACTTTTTATTCGGCAAGAACCTTCAAAGCTTTTCGACCGCATCATCAAGTTTTATGGCGTGGAAATTCCACAGGTTATTAATTTTCTATGCTATTTACAGTACCCTCGTTAATATCAGCCCATTTGGATTAGACAATTATATTGACATATACGAGGGTTGATAACAACGGGGGGTTGACTGTACTTATTTTTTTTATACTTTTCGTAATTTTTGCACAATCGTTGAACACATATAGCTTCCGTGAGTGTTGCGTGTGGGGACCATGAACCTTCATTCTTAGAATCCGTACAGCTATATTTTGATAAGGTAATAATAAATTTCAAAATTCTTTAAAAAATGTCAAACTATCCTTGATTGATTGATCAGATCATTTATATACGTACGTACGTAGGCTGCTAAGCTCAGTGGCGTATCACCAAACACCATATCACATGTAAAAGCTCCAGATTGTATGCTTAAAGTTACATTTCCGATCGAGGTATTTGTTATTAAAAAAATATTTCTATTTCTTAATATTT